ACAAGTAAAAACATTCTCACTGCTCGTCCAAATCACAAGAGAAAAATCAATGGGATCTAATTTCCTTTCAGAATGGCAGCACTTTAAGCTCAGCTGATACAGTCTCGATACATGGAAATACATTTATATACACACACAGACCATTTTAATTTCTCTCCCTGTCATGGGACCTCTGTCACAACACTTCCTGTAGGTACCATCCAAAGGAAGTCTGGCATCTGCTAGTGGTGCAATAATTAAGTTTTGGTGAGAAAACACACAGGCTAAACCAGAGTTCATGGCAAAGGACAGGATATTATGACAAAGGTTCAAACAAGGCCACCCTGGGATTTTCACAATGAATGGGAAAGAATGGATGCACTTGGTGTTGGAGAGGATAAGGCTGAGAAAGTTTAATTTTGTGACAAACAATTGTAAGACTGTCAATGTACTGTTGAAAACTGTTGTGATGAGAGATTAATGGCTAAGAAAAAATCAATTGTATCAAAAAACGCTCCCAAACGTTCCATGTTTCCAGCGTCTTAAATGTGAGAATATGCCGCATTTTAGGTTTTGGACTGTTACTTGCACAATTTTGTGTCACCCTTAACTTCCGAGACATTGTAACAGGCATTTGCCACTATTTTCTGCTGGATATTGGAACAATCAAACAATCAGATTAAAAGAGATTTCTGACCTCAGTAAGGCACTATGCTGCTTAAATGGTGTTAAAAAATAATCAACAGATTAACCAACAATGAATATAGTTGTAGCCTTGCAGCCTCGTGTCAATCACAAGTATCCTGTTAGGCGAACATATCCAACAATGATAAACTAATCTGACTTTGATACCGCAGTCACATAAAGCCACCCCAGTTTGTAGCTGCATGGGGGAAGGCCCATTTTAGGGCCCACAGATAAAGTGGAACAAGGAAAATGTCTGTGTGAGCGCTGGGTGTCTGTCAAAGCAGGAACTGGGAGGCGTTCTCCGTTGACCTCCGAGGGCAAGGACTTCCCAAAGCCCCTCTGCAAAACAACGGCAGACCCGGCAGCTGACAGTGGGACACAGGGGCTGCTGCTCTGCTAGGCCTGCCACTAAAAACTCGCCGACCCCCAGCCCCCCCCCCAGACCCACACCACCACCTCTCTTCCTCTCTCCTTGGATGTACCATGCACAGGACAAGACGGTAAAGCCCTTAGAAACTGGCAGCGGGAGAAAGCAGAAGCTATCACCTTGCCGATATGATCTGTCTGGAATGTGGCAATGCCTTACTGTATGTGAACAGACATGTTTGTGATGTCAGATACAACAACGGGCAGATGGGAGGGTTTAACCAACAGCAGCTTGATCCCAACCTGAGAGCAGGAATTAAATTGTTTACAGTATGACACGTCACATGTATGATTCATAGCGTGCATGCAAAGTACGGCTCATACGTGCATGATTCATTTAGAGGACTTGTTGTTATGCATATGTCAACACTGGATGTCATAAAGAGGTAAAAGTGACGATCGTACTTTTGTTTATACAAGCCAAGGATGAAATCACCATGAAATTTATTTTTGACAGCATATTGATCTGATAGGTTATCGCCTACAGATAAAGTATTGTGTGGAGGTGAATGTAACAGACATGATGCAGCATATCGTCTGACCACTGACTGATGAGTAAAGTAACCTCAACAGAACCCTGCAAGAGGCACTGGGTAAGTCCTGGATTAGTCAGTTGTTTTCATGTTCCTTCTGCTTATTCTGGACATTGTTCAACAAAAGCAAGCAGGCCCCTCCCACCTCCCCTCCAAACACTGCCCACCTCTGGAACCTCGATCAGCCCCCAAGAACAGATACACTCCAACCAAGTGATTCATTTAGCAGCGCTGAGACATTAGAGCGCAACTGTTTTGCTTGTGGAGGTTCAGCGCGTGTGAAAAAAGTGACTACACACGTCTGCAGTGTCCCATGTTTGAGGGACGGGGGCAGGGGGTTGAAAGTTTATCATGTTTGTGCAGCAAGGAGCTGTTGTAGAAAGAGTGAGTCACAGCTGAGAGTTAATAGCATTTGTAAACAATTAGCAAGCATTTAACCAGGACTAGTCATGCTTGTTACTGAGCATAAACATGTTGTCTCCTGTCTTTACCCCCCATTGTATCCAGGCTTCAACTGCCTGCCCTGTCTTTGCATATAATTTGCATGCCAGGCCTGCAGTGGTAGTACCAGTTTTTACTCTCTCATGGCCCTGCACTGGGTTTTACACTGCATAGCTGTGCGCCACATTTTCAGAAACCATCTGTGGAAGGTCACAGGAGGCTTTCTTTGAATACAATAACCAATGATTCCAACAACCGACTACTGATTAACAAACACAGGCCTCATCTGGCTCGGGGAGGACTTTGTGGTAGAAAGGGGTGGAATATTGACAGGGAACATGTTGTTAAGGATTACAACTTCATTGTTGCAAATAATCTCCTAAACGAGGCACAACTGTAGCATTTAACACGTGGGTTACGGCTCTGAAACAATACATTCCTCACACCTCCTCAGCTCATTCCAATATAATGACCTATCAAACTTGCCACCATGTCTCTTGAGAAACACAACACACCTTCAGGCTGGAATGTCTGAGAGTCTGTGAAAGTAGTATCTGAAAATATCCCTCTACATTAGGACGTCAACTATGTCAGATGACAGCAATACTGGTGAGTAAATAGCCCCGATTGTCCATAGCCTGACTTTAAGTGGAAGGAATTTCAGATGGACAGATTATCACATTCACAAGTCTGCCTGTTCTGGACACTCCATCTCATGACACTGTTTTCTGGCTCAAACTGTGTGTGTGTGTGTGTGTGTGCAGTTGTTTATAGGTTACTGCTCAGGGTGAGAAGCAGGGTGAGAAGGGCTGAGAGGCTGCTCCCTGCTCTCTTGCCTGAGGAAGGCCATTATTTTAGCTCCATTTTGCCTTGTGAGGGTTTTTTTTTTTTCCTCGTTGTTTATACAGCACTGCTATGAACCAAGCAAGTTTTTTCCTCTGTGCCACTGCAGCTGCTGTTCCATACAGACCACGGTGGTCTCTGTGTAAACATCAGCCAGCTTTAAGTGGAAGACAATGAGGAAATGACAGGACAATGGGGGGGGGGGGGGGGGGGGGGGGGGGGGGGGGGGGGGGCTGCATTTGAAGACATTCAAGGATGGATTTCCAGATGAAACAGAGAGATGACATCATGGCAAAGTCAGCTAGTAGGAACATGGAGGGGCCTGGTAACGCAACACCATACATAAACAGTGGACAGCTGTATTTATAGGAGATTGTCTCATGGTTCTATCTGCCTCCATAAATCCTATTATCTGATTTGTAGCCAGTCCCCTGCACAGCACCCAGCGAGAGACTAGCAGCTTTGGCTTGTAAAGCCTTATCAAGGCTCTCATGTGCTGTACAGTTGTCACTATTGTTGTGACATCAGTCGGCTTGGCCAAGATGAAAACTGGTCACATCAATGCCTGATTAGACATTACCTCACCATGATCGGATAAAGCCAAATGGCAGTTGTGTCTGTGAGCTGTTTAGTCAAAATTATAGACAGCTGTCGGGTATTACACAGGCTTACCTCCATGTTGTCACAGGACCCCACAATGGGTTGCCTCCTATGTGAAACCTGGCAAGTGCATTTTCATATAAAACAGTATATTTCAGGATCATAACATGTGGTGCCTCCTGTGGGTCATTGTAAAGACAAGATAGGTCCAGATGGTGGTGGGATGCACCTGCTACAAGTGGACTTTAAATATCTGACACTTCTCTGAGATGCAGATGAACAGAACATAAAAGACAGCAATTTGGTGGAGAGGTAAACTCGGTTACTCCTGCACCCAACTCATAAACACACAGAAACTGAGCCAAAGTGGAATTCACTCACATATCTCCTCAGTTTTTTCTCCGGTGGTGACTTCCTCAGCCAGCCCTGGAAGATGATTTCACCGCCGCTCATGTTTGTCAGTGTCTGCTGTTTCTTCTCGCTTACAACTGCCGTCTGTCACTAGTACATGACGGCTCCTCAAGGCTTGCCTGTTCAAAGTGCTGTCGGCGTTTGGCTCTCACTGGTGCAGTCTGCTCCCCCCATTTGATAAAAATCAAAGTAGTGCTGGTCGGAGATGTTGCCAGACGCTCCTGGTGGTACTGTGCGCAACAACCAGCGCGCAAAAGCACAGTTGGGGAATAAAAAAAAAAGGCGCAACTCGACTCTTGGGGAATTACGCGCGGCCAGCTGACGAGGAGCCGCGGGGAAACTCAACTGATGCAGGGTGAGGAAGTATCGTAGAGTGTCTGCAGTTTGTTTTCCCAACTCACACCACGCCCACCGAGCCAAGAGAGGGATGGGCTGCGCTGGGATGAACAGGATGGGATAACTGCTTCCCACAAAGTAGCTTCAGGATCCCAGAAGCAGTTTAAATAATGGAAGAACCGATTGATTCCTAACACACTATTTATCTACGTTCACATTAAACAGATGTTAAGGTATTTGTTTTATTTTAAATACGGAAACGCATTCGATCTTACATTATTATAACAAACGTGTTATATACCACACAACTATAATTGCGCATCAGTCACAGCCAGATGATGGAGGTTTCTTATAAAAACAAAATTGCCTAATAAAGGTCAAATTAAGAGTCAGTGGCTGCTGTTATGACTCAGTAAAGATTCGCATTTTGCAAATGAGATGGGGAAAAAGCACCATCTTGTGGAAAATTGGAATACTTTCTACAACAGATCCTCTGAAAACCAACATTGATTTTATATGTTAGTTGGTAAAAGTGGAAGAGACATAATTTTATGTATGTTATGAAAAATTTCCTGTTGGTAAATTAAATTACTTATTTTATTTGTTGTATATCATGCACAACTGATGAGTCAAATTCCATTTTCAATGAGCCATCTTAAATACCCATGATCATTGTTTTTATATTTCAGGTGTATATACATTTTCCAAATAATGCTATTTAAAATAAACCAATAAACACTAAAACAAGGTTGAAAATCATATTTATTTGATGTTTGCCAAATAGCAAAACCACACATCACTGACTTAAAAAAATCTACTAGGCCGGAACTGTGTTTTATAAAAGACAAGAATGGGAAAATCTAGGGAAAGGAATCACATCTTTAATGTTGTCCACGCCGAGAATGCATTGCAAATATCGCTCAAATCCCAGTCCAAAGCCACCATGAGGGACGGAGCCAAAACGCCTCAAATCCAGATACCTGCAAATAAATAAAAGTGTCATTACTACTCTGTTGGTATGTAAAGATGTTTCTTTAAAAATGTTGTGAATTTAAGTATGTTTTTACCAGCTGTAGGTGTCTTTTAATCCAGCCCTGGAAAAGTAGGATAATTAATGTAAGAACCTTTGGCCAAAACACAAACTCTTGAAGTTTCATATATCAATCCATGTGCACACAACTAAACTGTCTTTGCAGGCTTTCTTCTCTTCACCTAACTGAGGGTTACACACTCAGAACAGGGGCTGCACATATGAGGGTTAGACTTGGAGCAAAGCATAAACTCACCAGCACATGGCTGCCTTTTTTTTTTTTTAAACAGCAGACAGTCAGTGTCAGATAAAATAAAGTTTGTTCTTGTCCACAGCTACCTGAAACTGTCAGTAAAACCTGCAATCACATCTTGATTACTTTGTACAATATATTTTTTATGCTAATTGTTCAGTTATGTTCCTCTACACAAATGATTAAAATAAATAAATGTTAAAGGGTAACTTTGGTGTTGTTCAACCTGGACCCTATTTCCCCATGTTTCTGTGTCAAAGTGAGTAATGGACAACTATTTTTTAAACTGGTCCAGTATTGAGCGAGAGGGCTGCAGCAAAAACAGGTTGCAATGTGACCATTTGGGGCAATTGTGCGCCGTCAGCTTATGTTCACTTCAAGTGTTTGTTTTTGCCACTGATAGAATCAGATTGTTATTCTAAGTGTCTAACAACATTATAGACTCTTATAGACATTATAGACTTATAGACCCTTACAGAGGTCAACGTTTTTATTAAAGAGATCCTTTTTGTTTAACCAGAAATATCCCCAAAATTGCCATCGCCAAACCCACCAGACTCCATTTAAATAAACAGTAATTTCAGCACGTTAATAGCCGGCACATTTTCACATCGAACTGGGTGATTTAAGGGTTTATTTCAACCAAACCAGAGTTGGTGATTGTTGGGGCAGTAGAAAGACGAACCAAAACAGTTTTTGTGAGTTTAATTTCATTTCTGTCGACTTTAAATTAAGTGTGTTTTACGATGATAGAATTACTATTTTTTTAAAGAGACCTTCTTCACAGCAGACATGTTGACGTCATATGGGAAAGTACGGACGTATTTAAAAACGTTAATGATAGCTTACTTACTGAGACACTTAATGGAATTGAGCCATTGTTAATGTTATCAATTCACCTGTGCTTTTCCTACTATGACAGGTCAAAATGTCTGCTGTGAAAAAGCTCTACTGAGTGGTGAGTGTGGCGATAGCAATTTCAGGTCTGTTTTGGTTAAAGAAAAAGGATCTTACTCTTTAAGAAAAGGGTCTATCTCTGTAGGGATTCTTTCCATAATGTTGTCAGACACTTAAAACAACAAATCAAGCCTGTCAGCGGCAAAAACACTTTTAGTGGACGTACACTGATTGTATGTGATTGCCCCTTGTGGTTACATTGCAGCCTTTTTCGCTGCCAGCACTCTCGCTCAATACTGGACCAGTTTCAAAAATTGTTGTTCCCATTAGTCACTTAGACACAAAAACATGTAAAAAATAGGGTACAGGTTAAAAAATACTAAAGTTATCCTTTAATGTATAGTCAATATAACTGTTGAATGTTTCCTTTAGTTTTCCTAACACTGTATGTGTGTGGTGAGTCAGGGGCTTAAAGACCTGTGACGTGGCAAGCCTACAGAAGGATGTGCGAGTTGTTGGCGAAGGTTGTACAGAAAACGGCTTTTTATTTTAAAGCGCAACTACAGACTTTCTGAAACGCCCCAGCTAGCGCAGAGTGACCCTGCTGGGGTTATGTTCTCAATTAATTAAAATACAAACAAATCTAAAGCAACTAAGCAGATATCGACAACCGAAGCCTAAATGTATTAGCACGGGCCTTCCAATACCCCTGGAGAACGTGTTCTTACTCTTCCAGCCGAGCACTCAGCAGATCCAGCCTCTCCTCTCTCAGCGAGCCCCCACAGAGCTCTCCAACTCCTGGCACAAGAAGGTCCACTGCAGCTGCCTGCACACAAATGACAGTCGGGAGTCAGCGGAGATATGCAAATCGCTGCGATAACCCAACTGACATTACAAGAAGAGAAATGAGTGGTTAAATCATTGATGCAGTCGGCATGTTTAACAGTGTAACTACGTCTTACCGTATGCTCGGGGTGATCCTGGTTGTCTCTTGCATAAAAAGGCTTGAGATCATAAGGATAATCAGTGACAAAGACTGGAATGTTGCCGCAATGTTTCACCAGGTACTTCTCATGTTCTGTCTGAAGGTCACAACCCCACTGTAGAAAAGAAGAGCTACAGTCAATGTGGAGCTCTGTGAAATGATTGTGTTAATATCAAACATGCAGTATCAGTAGGTAGGTAGTCAAGGAGAAAATAAAACACTTACGTCTGTTGGGAAGGCAAATTTCTGAGAGCTGCGTTTGAGAATGTCGATAGCCTCACTGTAGGTAATCCTGAAAGCAGATTGAGATAGTATCACTTATCCAAGACATTCAATACTTGACTTTACTCTTTAGCTGATATCATTTTTATGCTCTGTTTAGAAAAACAGACTTACACAGGGAAGCTCTTCTTCAGCATAGCCTCTACAGTGTCCTTGAGGTGTAAGGATGCAACAGATAAAAAGTGTAAGTTGAGATAATAATGCAGTCAGGTGCAGCTGTGCCTGGTTGGTATAAGGAGTCAGGTTATGTACCAAAGTTAAATAAGCATCCTTCAGGACTCACCCTGTGCCCAGGAGTCACATGCTTGTGAAACAAATCCACATCCTTCGCACAGTGAGCCAAGACATGCTCCGTGGCAGATCTGAACATGTCCTCCATGACCTACGGAGTGGGGCCCAGATTAATAATTAAAGCTTTGCTGGGCAACTGTGGGTAAGGGCGACTTTAAAAGTCACACAAGGCGAGAGAAAAATTTGAACTTCAGTACACAGAAATTGATGTGATGTGACATCCGTTCACTTCATCCAAGATCCTCATATTTACAGATTTAGCCAGCGTGTGATGACTGTGTTTTATCAAAGGTTACCAGACAACTTTAAAGCTACTTAGTCTCTCGTTCCCTGGACAAAGTGATCCCCCAACAAGTATGTAAAGAAACTTTGAGAGAAAATAAAGATGACAAATCTTCAGCAGCACATAGTATAGCACATAGTACAGCACATATAAATACACTTCAAACCTTTAATACAGACGTTCCGGTACAACTTTTTCCTTCCAGATACTGATTCAGATACCTGACTAGCAAATCAGTCAATAACAGGTAAAAAGAATGAACTGTTAACAATGATTGCTATCATTGTTGTATGTGATGGCTCAAGTTAAACCCAACAAATACATACAAAGAATGAACACCATGAAACTTTCCTTTGTAATCTAAATTGACATTTTGCTCATGGCTAATGTTACACTCTTTGATAGAAACGGTCTTCTTCGCAGCTCTAAAACATTAGTTGCCAGCAGATGCACGATGCAACTTGCTAGGTAGGTTACCATCTCAAAACGGCACAGAAAAATTGATATCTGGGAAAACTGCCATTTTATCCAGATGTGAGCCTACTTAAAACATTTTTTAATGAATTACTAGTATCGGATCGGCGCATAGACTTACGTACTTGCCGATAACCGATCCAGCATTTCAGGCAGTATCGAAGAAATTTCAAAGACTCTACATAACTCTACATTTCAAATCCTGGAATTTTATTTTAATAGCAAGCTAAATTCAACAGAAACTAATGGCTTTTATAAAGGTAAGAATCTATTGTATTGAGTTAAAATTGGTAAACAGGCTTTATCATGTTACCCAATGTGCTACTTTGACTGATATAATGGAGCAATACTGTATTTGAGGACTATGACATAAAGTACCTTGGTGAGATCCTCCAAGGACTGTGTGAAGGACACCTCGGCCTCCACCATGTAAAACTCAGCCAGGTGGCGTCTGCTTTGGGAGTTCTCTGCTCGGAAAGTTGGCCCAAATGTGTAGACTCTAGAAAAAGCCCTGGAAGAGCATGAGTGACATGGTGTAATTAGAAATGTTCTTCAGTGCATGTGCACGTGTTTGTCACTTTGTTTCTGGGGCAGAGCATACAAGTGCAATATGTGAGTTTTGAAAATGACAGATGATCATCAGAGGATAGTTTATCTCACCCCGACATCACTTCCAGATGAAGCTGACCAGACACAGTCAGGAAGGCTGGGACAGAGAAAAATTTCTCATCTTCATCATTCTTTGGGCCTGATGGCTGCGGTAAAAGCAGAGGTTTTGATGTTTCAAGCAATGTCATTAATCCCTCTGTTCACATTAGAGATCTGAGTGACAATTACACCACGGAGGTGACACCACGTGTAAACCATGGACATACAGGATTTAGTGATGGGCCACTATGAACCAACTACTCTTTCTGAATGACTCTTTTTAGTGTCCTGTATGCACTAGGTCAGCCTGTCAAACAAATTGGTGTTCATGAATCCCTAGCTTTTCCCACTAGCCCATGCACTGTTATCGTAGGGTACTGTTCACACTGCCTGCTACAGTCAGTGAACGAGAAGCAGCTGAATTGGACTAAAGCTCAATTGCTCAGAGTGTTTAAGCAACATCTGGTTAACAAAGAGCAAAAGAGCCATGAAATTTCATCACAAACTCATTTTTCAAATTATTCCAACACCTCATGAATGTACATGTAATTATGTAAACTTAAATGTAATGACTAGTAATGCGTTGATGAGGAGTCTTGTGGCGCAGCCAGCATTGACTGTCGAACATGCATGTGCTGTAACCGACTGTCACGGAAAAAAGCATCACAAGTCGAAAGGTTCCACACATTTACAGGTCTCAACTTAAAGCCCCTACAAGGAACTTTCATTTTGAGTTGATTTTGGCGACCTTGTGGACAAAAGCAGTAGTGTTTTGCCGGAATGAAGCCTACATTTCCCATGAGCTCTAGCACGTATTGTCGTAAAGACACTTACTTGGCTCGCGCATGTGTTTGTTTTGGGGATGAATGAAACAACAAGACGGGAAAACTTTGCCCCCGCTCCTATCAGGGATCCCAGTTCACCTCTGCCGCCCCAGCTCCACCTCTCCGGCATAAGCGCCACCGCCGCTGGGGTAAACGCAGCGGTCGGCTGGTAAGGCTGAAGGCCTGTTTGGCGAGCACTTCCATGGCTTCTTGGACTGAGTATGGAGCGGTGCCTCGCCTCTTTATTTCTCGGCACTCGCTGGACCCTGTCGACGCCTGGCTGGTACCTGTTGTCAGCCCGGATGAGGTGTTCCAGCCCTGCGGCCCCTGCTCTCCTCGTCCCCGCTGGCACAGGGTGAATCTGCGCAACATGCAGCCTCTGTGTGTGGCTCCCCGGACAGCTAACGCCGTGGACCCGCCGGCTCCTGCCAGGATTGGGCTGGTAAATGCTAGATTGCTAGCTAACAAAACGTTTATCCTGAAGGATTTCGTGACTTCCCGAGGACTGGATTTTCTCTGTGTGACTGAGACGTGGCTGACTGTTGGTGAGTCCAGTGCTTTCACAGAACTTTTACCCGATGATTGCTGCTGTTTTAAACTCCCCGCAGACGTCGGGTCGAGGAGGAGGAATAGTGACTATTTATAAGAGTCACTATAAATGTAAGCCGCTAGGTAAGATGAAGTGTGCCTCTGAGTGCCATAAATCGCTTCGTCCTGGAAGCGACCTGAGGCGGACCCGGACACAGTTTCCTAAAGGTATGGATATACACTATATAGAAATAGCTTATCTTCACACCGATGGTCTCATTTGCTGTTCACGCACAGACATCAGCAGAAACGAGAGACTTTTGCATATTCAATTAAAAGTTCCTTGTAGTGGCTTTAAAGGAACCGACACCATGAATTGAGTCAGATTCACAAAAAGCTTTACTGTTACACTGTTTATACTGTTATGTTTAAAGTATAGGACCTTAACTTAAAGAAGATTTGTAAAGCGATCTGTACATACTCACCTCGACCTGAAAGAGCTCCCCTGCCCCTTCACAGTCATTTGAGGTGATGACTGGAGTGTGAATCTGCACAAAGCCATTTTCCTGGAATAAATAAAGTGATAAACATAAAAAGTCTTGCTCTGAATTTGATTAAAGACTCTCCTACTGATGTTCTCACCTTGAAATATGAGTGAATAGCTGTAGTGGCCTCACTTCGTATTCTCAACAGGGAGTTAAAGTTGTTTGTCCTACACCTGAGATGAGGAAACTGCCGAATATACTCAAGGCTGTGCCTCTCTTTGATTTTGAAGGGGAAATCCTGAAATAACAGGACAAAGCAACAAAATTAATTATATTTCCTATTCAATGACCACATACAAAGTTAACACTTAGATGAGGCATTATTTGAAGCCAGCAACATGTGTGTGGGATGTTTGTGGAGACTATTTTTCTTACCACAGGGTTACACTTGCCAACGACATGGATTTGGTCTGCTTCCAGTTCAACAGGCTGTTTTTGGTGTGGACTTTTCCTAAGAACACCTGTGACTTCAACAGCACTACCAAATGTGAGCAACCTTATTTTAAGGAGAGAAAAAGAGGGGAAGACGGTAAGTGTATTTTGAGTGTTTGCTTCCTTACCTAAAAGTGTTTTGTCAAGGATTATCAACAGGAAATAAAACTGGAGTGCTCACTGATCATTTAGCTCGGAGCTGGCGACGATCTGCAGTGACTGCAGAGAGCTTCCATCATTCACATGGAGAAAGAGATTTGCCTTCTGTTGTCTAACAGAACGAACCCATCCCTGCAACAGAGACACAAACTACATTTGGCTGTTTCTTCTGGTGGCACAGATAAATCTCCTTTTTGTTTCTTCAGTTTAGTTCCATTTATACAGCCCAGTATCACATATTATAACATACAACACCCTCTGCCTTTACATGTAATGTGTATAAACCTGTATGATGTTAATTCAAGAATTTCACTCCTTATTCTTCCTCAATAAAATGTCAATTAAATCTATAAACACTGGTATCAATGTGCAGTTATATTTGGAAAGCAAATGTGAAAATGTACGTATAGCATTGTCATAGATCAGGGTGCATAGGCACTATTTGAGAGTCAGTTAAATTACCTTTTTGATAACAGACCTTTGGGGGACATTTGTTTGGCATATTCCCGTGTGAAGCATAAATGTGCAAGGTTAAGTACATGTATAGTTATCTGTATCCCTGGATTAGTGGCAGATGCTACAGCAGGAAGAATCCAGGCATTTAGATTAAGTTTGCAGGAATTATCTTATGATTTTTCTAAAAAAAAGCATGGTTAAATGTAACTTAAGATGACAAGAAGTATTAATGTTTAATACAAGGTAGCATTTACTTATTAATTACAATGAAAATACATGACAATACAGTCAGGTTAGTAAGTCTGAGTGTAGCTAAAATAAGCAGCATGTTACTGAAGGATAGCTATTAGCACAAATTAGCTGACATTCTCCACAGATAAAAGTAGGCGTTAACGTTACCTGTACTTTGATTTTTGCTCCCAATTCAGCACCTGAAAACGCCTCGGACACTCTCAGCTTCACTGGTGTCCTCTCACAATAATGTCGAATACTTAACAACAGCCCCCGAGACACTGAGGTGGCTGTTGTAACAGAAAGCGTTTTAGCTGCAGCCTGAAACATCGCGACAGACGCTGCACTTTGAGACAATAAGCCCGCTACAAGCACAACATGAATTAATAAAGCATTTAAAGGTATTTTTACGATGTATGGTGCAGTCGTTTAGGCTCAACTTGACTTTCACGTTGTGCTGCTTGGATGACAGTAACACTTCCTGTTTGGGTCTTTCGTCATTCGTCTAATTTAGTCACGCGGGTTAGGATAACCCAATCAGATGTCGGTATCTCACAGCAGTCATTTTATTGCTCTAGGGAGTTGTAGTTTTATTTTTAAGACCCTAAATACCACTTGAAAGCGAAGTTTTAAATTCAGGATTATAATTTCGCCATTTTTTTATTGCAATTATTTTCTGTATGTCTTACGAGATTTTATTTAAATACACAGAGTGTAGATAAATATGTAATAAAAAAAAAGCTACAATAGGAAGTATCAACAGAAGAGTATGCAGGTGATGCCCTGCCTGATATCAGACGGTCAAAGGTCTGGACCCAGGCAAGATGATGCCATCACCTTTATAAACTAGAGACACTAAATCATTTTAATCAGTTTGAAAGAAGAAGAAAAACATGCAGTATTTTAAATAGATTACTAACTTCTAATTTTACCTGTTGACTGAATACTACTGTTGAAGAAATACAGGGGGAAAACACTAAAATGAAAATACTAGAAATTCCTGTTCTCTTCTCTGTAAGGGACATTTATATTTTATTGTGCCAGCCACTGTCTATCAGCAGTAAGTAAAAAAGTGATGAACTTGTTGTGAGGCAGGCAGTGTTTCTTGGTGTGGAATTTTCACAAATTTCCTGAACCATGCTAAATCCTGTCTTCAGGCCCAAAGTCATTTCTACATACAGGGAGAAATGTAAAGTATATTTTCAACACTTAAGTGTAACACATGTGGATTGATCCAATAATGTAACAAAGCAAAAAGAACAGCTATCATAACCACATGGAAACCCTCTTTAATCTTACATGATTTATCTGCCGTCAGTGTGAGGTCCATTTATGCGTAAACCTCGTTAATCCAATACCCACAACGACACTGGGTCTATTCCCACCATTTGCTGCTGGAGTAAATCAGATCATGCCAGCAATGTAATAAGATGCCATAGACAATTACTCACCTGGTCTCGACTGTCAGCTCTGGAGCCCCTGGTCTGGGTCTGCCAGCAAACACAGAGCTGGGTGTCTCCACCTCCGGCTGCTTATGACACATCATCATTAAACCCAACATGATGCATTTGAAAAGTCAGCAGGGTCATTGATATTAATTATCTCCAGCATGGACGGAGCAATTATGCACATGGTCTCATCTTAATGGGGAGCAGAACAATTCTATTTTCCGATTCATTGGCAGAGAGTGCAAAATCTAATGGGGAATTTGTTGAGGTCATGACATCTGTGTCATATGTTTCTGTGTCTTTAGAGCAAAGTTGAGACGTGGGGAGCATCAGATCTATTGAAACCAACAATCAGAGGGTTATCTTTAATTTGTTACCAGGAAACAACACAGATTTGGCAACTAAGAATGAATCAATAAACAAAAAATGATTAATCGTATGTTTTATTAGAGGAATATACTGCTGTAATCTGCTACTGCTCGCTCCCTTATCATAATGTGCAGTATCTTACTATGCCACAAGGTAGTGCTCTAGCTCTATGACACTTCCCACTCCTCCTTCCAAATCCCCACCTACTGCAGATTTATTCATTTACCCCTGAGTTGCCTCCAATATATTATTCATTTGTAGCTCCAAGGTCTACTGAAATGGAAACAAGCTGGCATTGTTATGTTCTCTCTGCAGTTCTATCAAGAATAATGCAAAGGACCTGCTGGCTTTCATCGGCAGCAGATAGCCCAGTGCAACAGTGAATTCAGGTTGCATCCAGGAACTGTTTTCTACACACCAGTAGGAACAGCAAGCTGAGATGCCCCCAGTGTTTATCTATAGTCTAACTTCATTTGTAATTTCCCCTTTTTTGCAGGCTTGACATATTCTGTGACAACTTGCACGTGGGAGTGATGCTTGATGGCGTGTCGCATGTATTTATATATTTCCACAGACATCCTCCCCCACAAACCACAAGGCGATGTATGCTTGAAACGAGGTGAAAACAGTATGCTGTGCTGTCGCTATAAAACTGTTGCACAACTAAGAAAAACAGCCCAAAGTAAAGTGTTATCCTGTTTACACTTTCCATATAATAAATCAAGAAGAGGAGTCAAATGGTGCTTCCAGTGGGAGATACAGCTTTCTGTTCTTGGAGCCTCTACAGGTAGAGGAGTTGTTTGGCAGTGGCCTGACAACCTTATTTGGGCTTAACAACTTGTTAAAATCAATACACGATTAGTCAGCAAAACAAAGGATTTTGCTGTAAAAGCTTGGGTCTCCGGAGGATCACTGAACTTAAAGGGCAAGTGCATCTTCTGCTCTCGGCAGGCCCGCCTGTCCACATCGACAGCATCACCTGCCCCTTCCCCGAGCCTTCATCAGCCCCTCCAAATATTCTGCATTCTCAAATGGAAGGGGGCATTGATTTTATGTAACATGGCTCGTTAAGTGCTGATTAGACCATTATAGTGATGTGATTTCAGGGAATGGGTCTGGGTGACAGGCGGCCAAACACAAATCAAAAGGAACTAACAACCCTTTACTGAAAGAGATTTGGGCTGCTGCACTGCTTCACCTACGACTCTCCAGTTACTGCCAGAATGCTGTGTTTGTGTCGGCTGATATCTAATGGACCAGCTTCAGAAGTCTGCAGTTTAGAGAAAATATCCATTAATGGTGCTCAAAACATTCAGCGTTTGGAAATGATGATGTGCAGCCATCACAGGGTAATCACTCTCATACTGTGCATTTGTAAAAAATCAAATGAGTTAGTGATATAGTGATGAAATGATAAATCGATTAGGTAATCAGTCAGTCACACAAAATTAGAATTCAATCATTTTAATTGACCATGAGTGTTGGAGTGTTTTCACACAGACCTCTGGGAAGTTTTCACCAATTTATCCCATTTTAAAGGCTCAATTCAATGATTCATTTTAAAATTTATCACTGTATAAATGATAATGAGAGTAGTCAGGAACTGCAAGTCTAATTTGTGCGGTGGAACTTGCAGAGCAATCCACCAAACTCTGTAATCAAAATGCAAAATAAGGTCTGCTCGACATCACGTTCGACGATGTCTCTTTTAGGCAAACAGGAAGAAATGAAACATCTATGTGTGCTGAATTAGTTGAAGGTGTTTTGTTGTTCACAATTTCATCTTGTGATGGACAATAGCTTTTAGAGACCTGATCTGAAATAGAATTTCTGGCTTACAGCTTAAGTTCATCAAAGTGTGCGTGCTGTTCTCAGTCTTCTGTAAAGTTATTTAAATCGTAAAAAACTGCACTTCTGAAATTGCTGCTGCTAATTCTGAGTCAAACTTGACAAGTTACTGCAGAGCTGAGTCAGAAATTTGATCTGCACTCAAACCTCCGTATAATTCCCTCTCTGGCTGAAGGTTGGAACGATTGAGTTATATCTCTGATTATACTATTGTTCTCACGCTGCAGTGTGTTACATAACTCTTTCTTTTTGTGTGAATTACAGAAATGCTTTGTATGATATGAATGTTGACCGTACTCAACATTCATATCGAGTAGGCTGTGTTTTGGGAAGCAACAATCCTGCAGCATAGTGAGGGGGGTGATTACTGCACATCAGGTTAACACAGACTTTGATTTTACCGATCACACCTTCAGATCCAAACATAGACCACTGACAGATTTGGGGTATTTTTTTCCATGCTTCAGTTTTGCAATGAAAGGAAATTCCCCTCATGTGCGGAGGAGATCGACTCGTGCCATTAGGAGCATTAACAATATCACAGCTTCAAACTTAACAATGTCACAACAGTTTGCCACTTGAACTTTTTCTTCTCTTCCACTGGAGGTAGTCAAAGACAGGCCTCTCCTGAGATAGCTAAGAATAGATGATGAAAAATAGGCGAGCAGAGAGGCAATATCAAAATATTGTACCTCATCACACAGTATTATTCTCATCCGATCACAAGCAGTCAAATGAAACGACTCACTCTCGTCCTCACTTTGCTCTTTGCTGCAGTGTCACTTGTCAGTGCTGGCTATAAGAGGATACAGTGTGGGCTCTGGTTCATTTCCCCTGGTTCTTTAATTTAGCTCCCAATGAGGATAGAGCTCCCTTATCCTCATTTACAGAATAATTTGCACAAATGATCCTAAATGCTAACTCTTAATTGTGATGCAGGAATTCTACTTATATCTAGGTCAACCCAGATAAGTCTGGAATATATCTCCTTACCTTGTGAGGGGTACAGTATGAGTGGGGATACTAGTACATCCGCCAAATGTTGCATAATTGTCTGAGTACATGCTGAAATATTAAAAGCGTACTAATTATCTGTATAGAAAACACCTTAAAGCCTAAGAAATGGTATTTCTTTCATCATGCTTTCTCAGTTTGGGTCTAGACTCGCTGAGATGACTTCCAAAACATCCAGCGCACATAATAATTTCTCATCAAAATGTGTATGTCATATATTTTCAGTCAGGTTTTGCAAAGGAAAACGCCTGCCATGGGATTTTTATGATCTGTAGCTCCACCTGAAGATTTTACAACTCTGTCAAGACATTTTTAACTGCCTAACATCGCTGCAAACTGCTGTGAAGTCACAGAGTTTACCTCATCTGCACCGTATGCATAGGTTATGTATTTGTATATATACCATCCATCTGTTTGTGTGTTTGCTCGTCTGTCTGTCTCTTTGTATGTGGAACTACTGGCCAAATAATCAGCCTTTTACTCTGGTAATTGACAGCTAACTCGGAACACTATTAAGCCTTTTAGCCAGATTCTGCTCTCTATTAAGTGCCTTCTTGTTCAACAAGCACTTTTTTTTTTTACAGGGCAGACACAATGTCCTTTTTCAAGAATGCCAGTAAAATGATCAACAATTCGCTAACTGCAAACTATAAACCAGCAGCCAGATCTGTGCTTTTCTATTTGTGTGGGAGCATTCCTCCACAGCCCTATCATTAATGTGTCCTTCCCCCGCTGATTTATTTCATTTACCTCCCCTGTTCAAGCAGGAACAATCTGATGATAAGTGAATGATGACTG